TGCACATCTAAAGGCAAAACTTCAAGTGTCGAACTGAAGTATTTTATGTGATTTCTTATATTCTGCAGGAAAGCCGAGACATACTTGAAATTTGAGTGTGCAAGGCAGGATGTCATCTTTCAAGGCATAACATTGAGAAGGAAATTACCGGTCTAGTATGCAGGCAATGACAACCGGGTCCACAGAACCTAACAGGATTTAGGGACAGGGTAATTTATCCATGTATTGTACAGCACTCATAGTTGCAGCTAGTCATTTTCCAACAGCATAAGGGATTGCCTGTGTGAAGAACAACCTGTGCGAACCTTTGCCTCTGTCCCAAATGGCATGCCATAGACATATTTCTGTAATTGTACCAGTACTAGAAACATAAGAGCACCTTTGTCATGTCTGTGCTGGATCACAATTGACGTCAGTAACTAAAAAGAAATGCCCAACACTGACTGGCAATTGGCAGGGGTGCAGTTTCCTTTTCAGTCAGGGGCTCCAGTTCCCCAAAATATTTCGCCTGCAGCCTGACTTTGAGAACAAAGTGAGCCAAATCTTGGGAGAAACAGGCCTGTTCGTTGGCGTCTTTTGAGGGGTGGGTTACATCATTTCCCACTGCTCAGTTCGCTGGGACTGAGTGGAGTGAGTTGAGTTGAATATGAATTGAGGGCCCCAACTCATTTGGCATCCCTGACCACTTACCGCTGGTGCAGCACTTACAACAAAATGTTGACATTGTTATGATTGTCATAAAAAGTAGGAAACATGATTGATTGCATGCCAGTGGTTGTATTTTAAATATCAAAACAAGGTAGGAGACAACCTGAAGACAACCAGTGCATGGCTTGAGGCTAAAATCTCATCATATGTTCCACCTTTTTGTGTCCGAAATTTTATTATTGGCGTGAACAATTAAAGGTTTCGTTAATTTTTAGGCTACTTCAGGACACAATTTAGAGAAGATGATTGCATAAACGTCAGGAAAGTGTCATTGTAGTTGCTCTTACGAGAATGTTCACCGGGATTGCCCAGCAATGAACGGCGGAAAATGCCTGTGCTGCCCTGCATGCTGCCAGCAGAACCAGTGCAGTTTTGTTATGTCGCCGGAACACCATAATTGTAACGTTGCCGGATTTAGTCAAAGTTTTAGACTATTGAGGATGCTATCTACATATTTCTGACAACAGATTATAATCCTTAGCCAAATGTTATGTGTTTACCAATTTGTATTCAAATGGCACTGTTGCAAAAATGATAAATAAAAAGCAGCATAAGATCACTGTGCCGGTACCAATTTGAAATCTGGCATGTTCTGGTATTATCATGCCGTCCAACCTGTTGTTATAGGGCCTTGATCATCAGCAGGCAATTTTGAATTTACGTCTGCTATTGTTTCGATAAAGACATGTTGCCGAATTATCAACCCAACTATATCTCCATTCCCCTGGTTTCTCTCCGAGGAATAGGTTGTTGCTGCTGTCTTATCTGTGTGAATAATGTTTCTCGCTAATGCACTGAACAACTTACGTGATTATTGTTTGGGACGCAAAGTCGAGAAGTCGGCGTGCTGGATCACCAAACAGCACTCCTAACCAAGCGGACACCGAGTTGTGTTCCGCATCGGGTCGGTGTTGTTTGCAGGCAGGTTCCGTAGTTCAGAGCAGATTTAGACTTACGAGCGGTTTTAGGTCAGTTAAGGGCATGGACCGTGACCTCGCTGGATGGACCTGTAGGTCACCAACCCATGAAAAGGGCCCAGTCTGCGCGCAGCCGATCATTAGGTACTGAGTCGGTGCCAGAGGTACCATTCATTGTCATCGGTCCTGTCCAACATGGCGTCACAGCTCAGCAGCTGACGCGGCCAAATAGCAGAGTTATTTTCCAAGCATTCACAATTAACGTATCATCAGCCATCTCAAATCGAGCGCCACCACTTTTTATCGCGTTCAGTGTTCTCAGAAACATCGCTGCTTGGGGAGCGGAGGGACCCCCACCGCTTCGCTGGCGGGAGGCAGTCGATATCGGCTGTGCCGGACAGGGCAGCGTTGTATAGCTCGGCAGTGCGGCATCTCGACTCACGGCCCCCTTCTCAATGTCTCGAGTCTTTATCTCAGAGGCCTGATATCCGCTGCTCGTTAGTCATGCGAACGGAGGAACTCTTTGAAAAGCACGATGCGCAAACGGCATTTTAGAACACGCAGACTTTTTTCCCAGAAAAAGAAGCCCTCGTCGTGCACCAGATAATCCGACAGGTTCTGCTATTGACGGTGGTGCCTGGCATTGTGGCCAAATGTACATCTGCTTACACCTATGCATTGGGAAGTCCTCGTAATGTAGTTCGTCGGATCTACTGAATGCGGTGTGGTGGATGTCTGTCATGCATGTGTACGGAAATTCCTTGTGATTGAACACAGGCACCGCCTGTGCGATGGGGCACAGGCACCGCCTGTGTGATGGAGCACAGGCTCCGCCTATGAGCCGGGACAACAGACATTGCTTGACAGGCAGGTGCTGAGGCGTAATGGGTGGTGTTTCCCGTACCGAGGCCACCGGCATGCGCAGTGTGGTGTACACCTGCTGCGTAATCAATGTTTTAGACAAATTGCTGGGTCAGTAAATTGGTTTCTGCGTTAAGAAGAAGACTCATTAGCTAAGATCAAAGGAATAACTGGGCACGTGCCGTATTCGTCGCTCTAAAATCTGCTGCTAAAGCGGATTAACGGATGATAATTTCGCTGTCGTAGGCGCTAGAGTTGCTACTTGATTATATTCGGAAAGCCTTGTAGCTCACGTTTGGCGCACGGCGTGCCCCCGGCAGATACAAGCTCAACAGTCAGCGTTTTGCCATGTGCACTCCTGGATGTATGAAAGATCTCCAATAGTTCTGCGATTAAAGCTACTACCAGAGCTTTAGCCAAAAACGTATCGTCATGAGCAGACATGTCCGTGCCCTATTCATGATAGCAATACACGGGATGAAGTAAGTCAGTATCTCGCTTACACAAAAATCTGCTCTCGTCCAAACTTCCCGTCGCCCCGGTTCAGTCCACTCCCCGCTGGCTCCCGTCGCCCTGGTTCGGCCCACTCCCCACTGGCTCCCGTCGGCGCCTCGACCCACGCCGCCGTGTTCTCCCGTCGCCCCGGTTCGGTCCACTCCCCGCTGGCTCCCGTCGCCCTGGTTCGGCCCACTCCCCACTGGCTCCCGTCGGCGCCCCGACCCGCGCCGCCGTGTTCTCCCGTTGCCCCGGTTCGGTCCACTCCCCGCTGGCTCCCGTCGCCCCGGTTCGGCCCACTCCCCACTGGCTCCCGTCGGCGCCCCGACCCGCGCCGCCGTGTTCTCCCGTCGCCCCGGTTCGGTCCACTCCCCGCTGGCTCCCGTCGCCCCGGTTCGGCCCACTCCCCACTGGTTCCCGTCGCCCCGGTTCGGTCCACTCCCCGCTGGCTCCCGTCGCCCCGGTTCGGCCCACCCCCCGCTGGCTCCCGTCTCCCCAGTCCGGTCCACGCCGCCGTTGTCTCCCGTCTCCCCACGCTGTCGGCGTCTCCCGCCGCCCGGTCGGATCCATGGCCGGGGCGTGACGCCGTGCCCGGCCGGCGGCGCCGTCCGCCTGTTTGTGGCGCCTGTCTCCCGTTACTGGTGGGCCGGGGCGCCGGGCGCCGGGCGTTTTTTTGCGGCCGGCGGCCAGACGACTCATTGCGTTCCCGCCGGGGCGCGGATGGCGCCGCAGCCGAGGGCTCTTCTCCGATCGGCGAGCGGTGGCTTCACTGGAAAGCGCGGCCTCGAAGCGCAGGACAGCCGCGCCGGCGCAGGTCTGTGTGTGCTGTCAACAGCGGGGATGGGATTACTCGGTTACGCGCTTCTCCCACTCCGAATGGCGCCGCGCCGCCGCCGCCGCGCTGGCAGCGCGTCACTGTATTGTCAGCCGCTTCGGTGTGCGTATGAGACGATGGCCGCGCCGTGCCGCGCCGTGTTTGGAGCTGACTCACCTCATTATCACTGGGCCCTGAAACGCGGCGCTGCATGTAATTTATCAACCCCTCGCATCCCTGCGCTGCGTTGCTAATGCATCTGTCTTGAGAACTAATTTATCTGGGAACGACATGCCCATCTAGGACTCGCCATTAGCGTGGCACACCATTCAGCGCTCATCGATTACACAACAGTGAAACGTTGCGCGTTGTATGGAAGCATGATTTGCAGACACAACGAAAGCACTTAACCGTTTTGGGGTGCGTTTTCTGTCCTTGAGCTCGTTTAGGTGTTGCGATGATGTCATACATATCTGGATTTGGGGCCGTGATTTGGAGCCATGTTTCGTCTAAAATGCGATGACCTCTGGTCCTTTCAGCGACAGATATCGGACTGTTGTTATGGAACGGAGCCGCTGCCAAGACCAGCAAAAACGTGTTTTGTTCACTTCGTTGTTCTCGAGCCAAAAAGACAGTTGCGTGTTTGTTTCCGCGATCGCTTGCATTCCGCGTTCGCCGCTTTCCTGCCGCCATGACCTGCCGCGGATCGCAGGCTGAGCTTGTCATGACCTGCCACGGACCGCAGGCTGAGCTTATCATGACCTGTCGCGGACGGCAGGCTGAGCTTGTCGTGACCTACCGCGAACCGTAGGTTGAGTTTGTCATGACCTGCCGGGGACTGCAGGCTGAGCTTGTCATGACCTGTCGCGAACCGCAGGTTGAGTTTGTCATCACCTGCGGCGGACCGTAGTTTGAGTTTGTCATGACCTGCGGCGGACCGTAGTTTGAGTTTGTCATGACCTGTCGCGGACCGCAGGCTGAGCTTGTCATGACCTGTCGCTGACCGCAGGCTGAGTTTGTCATGACCTGTCGCGGACCGCAGGCTGAGTTTGTCATGACCTGTCGCGGACCGCAGGCTGAGTTTGTCATGACCTGCCGCGGACCGCAGGCTGAGCTTGTCATGACCTGCCGCGGACCGCAGGCTGAGCTTGTCATGACCTGTCGCGGACCGCAGGCTGAGTTTGTCCGCCATCGGCTTGTTACAGGCGGAGGAGGACCACGGACCGCCGCCGCCCAACTCCACCGTCCAACTGCCCTTCATAATCGTCAACACAAGCAAGAAGACTGTGATAGACTGCAGCATTTCCAATGACAAGTAAGCTCCTGATGGCATTGACATGTGCGTGTGCTCTTTGTTACCAGAGCATTATTGCTTATTAAAGCGAGCGCCTTTTGGCAAAACGGTTGTGCATGAAAAGCATTAATTCTAATTTCGCATCACCTATGACATCTGCATACAAGGTGTGGTGAAAAAGGGATTGAACGATCATATAACTTTGTAACTTCAAAGTGCTTTATGACCTCGCGTGTGGTCTCATCTTTCAGAAGAATGTGTATATATATATATATATATATATATATATATTACATCCTTCAAAAATAAGCTGTACGATGTGCGGACATTTCCGACATATAGCAAGTTTGCCCAGGACCGATGCTCTTTGAGTACCAACACGCGCTATCTGGACTGTCGCCTGTCAGTATCGTCGGCAGTGACGCCCCCCATATGTGACTGGTCGGCCCTGTGCGCGGTTGGCGCGGCCTCCGTCACCGTGGCTGGGCCGCGCTCTTGCCGGGCTCGATCCACCAGGCGGCCAGGGAGACACGCAGGGGGCGGGTGGGGGCAGGGGGGGGGGGGCGCAGAAGGCGCGCGGCTCGGCCGACGTTGCGTCAGCCCGGGTACGGACAGCGGCGTTGATCCGGCCCGAGCCGCGGCCGTTCCCGGCGCCGGCGGACGTGAGCCAGGGTGACCGCGCCGCCGATACCAGCCCGGCCCAAACTTGTCGCCCGGATCGCCGCCGGATTAGCGGCTGGCTCCATTTTGCAGAACTTTCGCGTCGCCTCGGGCCGGTGGTTGGGCTGCGATGTGGGCGCATCGAGCCGGCGGTTGGGCTGCGATGTGGGCGCCTCGGGCCGGCGGTTGGGCTGCGGTGCGGGCGCCTCGGGCCGGCGGTTGGGCTGCGGTGTGGGCGCCTCGGGCCGGCGGTTGGGCTGCGGTGCGGGCGCCTCGGGCCGGCGGTTGGGCTGCGATGTGGGCGCCTCGGGCTGGCGGTTGGGCTGCGGTGCGGGCGCCTCGGGCCGGCGGTTGGGCTGCGGTGTGGGCGCCTCGGGCCGGCGGTTGGGTTTCGGTACGGGTGCCTCGGGTTGGTCACCTGTCTCGCCAGGTGCCCTCTGGAGCGCTCCAGCGTATCTGGTTGGAGTCGTGGGGAGAGGAGCGTTCCGTCGCCGGCGTGATTTCGGCCAACCGAGCAGGTCCGCTAGGCCCCGCCGGGCGGACGCCGGATCGCGGCACCGCATCTGGCCACCACGCCAGCGCAGGCGGCGCGCGGAGCAGCCCGCGCGGAGCCGCCGTCCCCCGTCCCCTCTACCCCCTGAGAACAAGCCGCCTGCACCGCTGCCGGGCGACAGGCCTCCTGAGGAATGGCCCGTCTACCGTCGGCCGGCTGGATGCAGCACCCGGCGCTACTGTTTTCCTGCACGTAAAGTAATCCTTGAAGGCTCGCAACGCTCTCGGCCTGTTTTTCGCTCGAGGCAATCACATTTAACGTGCCAGGACTTATTGTCTGTCGGTCCCCCGTGCTGCAATGGAGCCTCGTATGAGCCGGAGCACCGCGCCTCGGGCCGACTGACGGAGGAGGCGGAAGCTATTTCTTGAACAACGCATTTGCGCTGAGAAAGGGAGTGTGCTTGTTGAAATGTAAAGCAGTTTCGCGCTGATAGGCGTCATTTGGCATGCCCAAAGACGAACATCACAATATCAAGCATAAGTCAGGAGGTTGTCACATTCGTGCGAAGCGTGCCGGCTCGGAGAGGCGATCATGGGGCTGGGGCTCACGAGACAGATGGGTGGATCACGGTCAGCCGCGGTCATTTGCACGTGCCCGTGGCAACGCTGTGAAGATGTGGGTCACCAAACTCTGGCAACTTAGCAGCGTTGAGGCATGCCCCGCAGGGACGCCGGGTTCGGCCGCTGTAGGAGACTAGCGCCCTCGCGCGTCCCAGCTCCGGTAACGGGTGGACAGCGCAAGCTGTTCCTCTCAGGGCGTAGCGACCCTGCCGGTACGTGAACTTCTGCTCCTTGTCCCGCCCGCTCCCTTCCCATTACCCGCTTTCCCACATCTGGCCACTCATCACTCCTAATCCCCGTTTTATCGGGGTCGCCGTACCCCCTCGCCCGCGTCCCCGGGTTGATCGGATCCTGGTGGCTGAGGGGCGCGTCGTGCGGGTCAGTCGCGGCGCGTCCCAACACACCACTTTGGCCAGGATATCCGGAGGCCCGTGTGCCCGTGAGGGCCCCACACGGGTCTAGCGGCTTGCCGTTCGCGCTGCGGCTGGGTGCTCCGTGCGGGGACGCCTGGCCGTGCGCAGCGGCTTAAGGGGTCAAGGGGCGGCGGCGCTGAACCTCGGTCAGGACGGGGAGGAGGGGGGGGGGGGGTGGTCTCCCCGGTTACACGTGGCCGTATGGGAGGTGTCGTTCGCCCGTATAGCACCAGGGCAGCCCTGACGGCGACCACCTCTCAAGGGAGTGTTGGAGCGTCCCCCAGTTGGGCTCCGTGTTGGATGGGGGGCCCCGGTGCCGAAACTTCACTGAAACTTGCATGGCATCCTATAACTGAAAAATCACCCGACCCCCTAAAGGGGGAAGGACCACGTTGATGATAGAAGGCAGCGGAGAATCTTCACCACCTCCCCTAATTTTGGTCTTCCAAAGTGATGAGGCGAGGGTCTCGTCTCTCGTCGTTTCAGCGGAAGAAGCGGGTGTTATCGATTTGGCGTTCGGCGCGACAAATAGCGCGATGGAGGGTTAGAGGTAGAGTTCGTCAACGTGACAAAGGCTGATCGTGCGAGGGCTGCAGCTGAATTTACGTACTGCGTTCGGGACAAGGATGTTAAACGAAACGTTTCTGTGCGTATCCGAGTAATACCACACCTCACAAAAAAATGCCTCCAGGGGAATAATTAACTGCTTCGACTTGCGTGACGTCAGTGAAGAAGAGATCGCTGACGAGTTGTCTGTGTTCGACGTCACTGCTGCACGTAGGATCTCCATTAGAAAAGGGGGTGAACAGCTGCCGACAAATAACATTATCCTCACCTCCAATCGCCCGGATCTGCCTTCTCAAGCACACGTTGGATACGCACATGACATGTGCGTATCCATTGACATGCGTATATGACATGTGTATATGACACATGACAATGACAATGACATGACAACATATGACAATGTTTATGTTTATGCGACTTTGTTTATGTTTATGTATACGACAACAATGTTTATACGACTTTGGCTTTTGGCTTTGGCTTTGTGTGTTTACACAGAAAGAAAATTTACTTCCAAACTTTTTGAGAGATACAGAGAGAAAGAGAGATGGGATAGAGAGGGAAACGGAAAAGGAGAGGGAGAGAGAGAGAGAGAGAGAGAGGAGAGAGAGAGAGGAGAGAGAGAGAGAGAGGAGAGAGAGAGAGAGAGAGAGAGAGAGAGAGAGAGAGGGAGAGGGAGAGGGGAGGGAGAGGGAGAGGGAGAGAGAGGAGAGGGAGAGGGAGAGGGAGAGGGAGGGGAGAGGAGAGGGAGAGGGAGAGGGAGAGGGAGGAGAGGGAGAGGGAGAGGGAGAGGGAGAGGGAGAGGGAGAGGGAGAGGGAGAGGGAGAGGGAGAGGAGAGGAGAGGGAGAGGGAGAGGGAAGGAGAGGGAGAGAGAGGGAGAGGGAGAGGGAGAGGGAGAGGGAGAGAGGAGAGGGGGAGAGGGAGAGAGAGAGAGAGGAGAGAGAGAGAGAGAGAGAGAGAGAGAGAGAGAGAGAGGTGCACCTTTTCATCCCGAACCCCATGGGATGCTTCCACTGCCAGCGATTTGGCCATATCAAACAGTACTGCCGCAACAAGTCTGCTTGTGGAAAATGCGCTTCTTCCCAGCATACGACGAAATCGTGCGATTCGGAGAGAGCCTATTGCATGAACTATAACAAAGACCAGCCTCCGCACGCGACTTGGGACCGCACGTCCTTTCGCAATATCTATTTTCACTGGGCTAGAACACTAAGGACGAGAGCCGTCGTCGAACATCATACGCCGAAAAAGCTAAGATCACCGCACGCCCAAGCTCCACTGATCAAACGACCGCTGCGCAGTTTGTTGCGCTCTTGAAGTCCTTTGGTCTCGCGGTTGTGTCGACGAACCGGGCGCTGGACTCCAATCTGGTAGCCCTGGCTCCCCCTTCCTCGCTGGGGCGGTCGAAGGAGACCTATCTGCCAACCTCCTCGACGGCGCCCCCGCGGGGGGTTCGCCGTCGGTGGCAGGGGGCGGTGGTTGGGCGATAGTTCGGCGTGACCGAGGTTACCAGGCGCTGTCGACTGCCGCCTTGCCTGCTAGCCCGGCGACTAAAGCAACCTTGGCGAGCGCGTGCTCGTGAACAGCAGAGACGCTAGAGCGCCACGAGGTAGACATTTGCGCCCGTGAGGCAAAGCGGGCATGCCTGGTAGACCGGGAGCGTGCCGAGGCAACCAACCCGCTGTCTGGGGCGGACTAGGTGGTCGCTCCAACGGGGGAAGCCCCCCCCCCCCCCGCCTCCCCGAAAGCGTGTGAAAGCTCCCGCAGGTGTCTCCGACCGGCGGAGAGATCCGCCTATGGGTCCTCCGCCACCGCCACCTAGGACCACGACGTCGTCGCGCCGGCCCCGTTTAGAACGGGGCACCCAGAAACGCGTGGTCCGCCGGGGCCGATTTCGCCTACAGATGGCGGTAGTCCCCCGATCCGTCCCAGGATCCGCCCGATCTCTCTGCGAACGGGTTCTGAAGATAGAACCAACAACCATGGGCCGGACTCTAGCGCTGCTAAGTTCTTTTCAAACATTACAATGTTTTAAAGCCCCCTCATTCAGCCAGCTTTACAATGGAAATGTAGAGGTGTAAAGTCAAGCACCCAGGACTTGCTGACAATTTTAAGTGCGCATTGCCCGGTAGCCGTGTGTCTCCAAGAGACAAAGTTGGCACCTGATGCGGCCTTCAGCCTGAAGGGGTACACCACCTTCCGCACTGACATGCCGACAGACACCGTTGCTTACGGTGGCGCGCTGTTAGCTGTACACCAAAGCGTACCCA